TGTTATTAGCTGAATCACATGGTGTTACTATCAGCAAACGTACTCGCGAAAGCGCCAATTTGTTGGGATCCATTTTTGAGTGCGCGTTCCTCTGCGCCATATGCTTCCGGGTAACAAGAAAGCGACCTCATTCACGCATATTTTTGATTGGCAGAGCTAACTTGAAATTTTTCAGAAAAGTAACTCGAAATTTTGAGTTATGGATTCTAGCTGTTTTGTCTTTATTTAGTGACGGAAACGGGCTTCCATACACTTGACCTGTAGCTGTGTAGTTAGTTTAGTCTGTTTTAAATAAATCAAATTTAACTCTAATTTCTAATTAAGTTAAATGTATCCAACAGTGTTTACAGTGTGAAAATATTTCTATATTTATTTATTTTTTTGCAAGGTAATTGAAATATTAGAAAAGGATAAGATCAGCTGTGCGGTTCCTCGGTCGTTGATCCAGTGTTTAGTTTATTTTCCTCTGTTCTCAGTTTAAAGTTTCTTATTGATTTCCAGTGTTCTTGTAATTATGTTGTGAATTACATGCTGGAGTTCAATGTTCGTAGTTGTGATCTAGTCCCAGAGTTTGACTTCATGTTTATTTTTCTTATAGCAGTCTGTTGAATACCGGCTGTTTAGTCTTCCCTACGTATCCCATGCCCGGTGTACGTGTCTTACTTTCCAATCCATCAGTCATGTGCCAGTTTTACTTCCCCCTTTGTGTTTCGTTAGATTCTGTTCACCTGTTCATTGTCCTCATGTGTGTATTTAAGCCTTCTGTTTTCTTCAGTTCCTTGTTGCATTCTACCAACAGGTGTGTTCCAGTATTGTTTTTTACTTTTGCAAGTTCCAATAAAAAAAGCTGTCTTTTATGAGTTCACCATTTTGAATAAAAATGTCAGATTAAAGACAGGCTTTGGTATCCGTTCCCACCAGAACATTGCTGACTAAATAGTACTTTAACTGTGAGAAACATGGCACCAGGTAGTGACGGTGTGATGAAATCCCTTGAATGTGTCGACTTTTTCCAGCCAATTGCTTTGCCAAAAGGCAGATCACACGAAGCTCCGTCCAACAGCTCATTTGGGAGTACTGCTGCGATGATGCATGTGGGCTACATACCAAACGTAATGATTAGGGATGTTACTGGCCATTAATTTCTTAGTTGACTAACTGGAAAAAATTCCACTAACAACTAGTCTAAAATTAAGAAAAACTCAGATCCATCCATCCATTCCTTATCCTTTTCAGGGTCGCAGCTGGAGCCTATCCCAGCTGTCATAGGGCGAGAGGCGGGGTACACCCTGGACAGGTCGCCAGTCTGTCGCAGGGCCAACACACAAAGACAAACAACCATTCACACCTAGTGACAATTTGGATTAATCAATTAACCTATCCCCACAAGCTGCATGTCTTTGGACGGTGGGAGGAAGCCGGAGTACCCGGAGGGAACCCACGCAAACACGGGGAGAACATGCAAACTCCACACAGAAAGACCCCGGCCTGATGGAGGAATTGAACTCAGGACCTTCTTGCTGTGCGGCAACAGTGCTAACCACCGTGCTGCCCAAAAAAACCCCTCAGATATTAAGTTAAATTTAAGAACCATCCATTTAATGGAAAACGTCAAAACTAATCTCAGAGGTGTTTTGGAGAAAGCTAATTTCCGCCACGTGTAGAAGCTTCGTCAGTTCTAATGTCGAGTGGTGGAGAGTCCCAGATTTAAGTCCTGGGGGAGTGTCCCCAAGAGGGGATCCTTTAATCACACGAGTCAGCAGTGTTGGGCAAGTTACTTTGAAAAAGTAATTAATTATAGTTACTAGTTACTTCTTCAAAAAAAGTAACTGAGTTAGTAACCGAGTTACAAGATTCTAAAAGTAATTAATTACTTGAAAAGTAACTATTTCGTTACTTAAAAAAAATAAATAAAACGTTTAACCCTTTTGATGTTTCCTCCACATTTCACCTTTAAAAACTGTTTATTTGCCTTGTTTGGTATCATCCTTTTCAGCACAACCTCACGTGTCTGAATTTACAGTTATGTTTTCATTTTGACATATTGTATTAACACAATTGATCTAAAATCAGACAAAACACATAAAATCCGAGTAGAAAAAGTTATATTTTTTACTGTAACAACCACAAACATGTTTAATGAATCATGTTTCGTAACTTTAAATGCAAAAATAAATTGACAATTTTAAAATTATATGTACAACATCACAGCCTGATACCTGCAGGTCTGACAGCAGCAGGTACATCACTCCTGTTTCTACCTGGAGACAGCAGTCACCTCATTGTTCTGATACACAACACAAAACTATCCACAACACTACACACTAACTACACAAGACAACACGTCACTCCTAAATCTTCCCCCTCTTCCTAAACAACCAAATGTCATGTTGCCATGTCATTTTTTGATTTGTGATTATATATCGTTGTTGGGATGATAAGTGTCTTATATTGGGATATGAGATCATACCAAAATCTCAGACTTTAACCAGCCTGATGAACGCACTGACCTTGCTCTTTATCCACTTCAGTTGTCGAAGATATAACAAAGCGGCGTGAACCTCTGCCCAGCATGGAGGCCATCTACCTGATCACACCCTCAGACGAGGTAAATAAAGTAGTTCCTCTACAGCAGGGCCGTCCAGCTGCAGTCCTTTGTCAAACTTGATAACCATTGATTCAGCTGGTTGGAGCAGCGATGCATCTAAAAGCTGCAGGACGGCAGCTCTCGAGGACTGGAGCTGGACACCTCTGCTCTACAGCCTCATTATGTGATTTTCTTCATTGCAAATGTTTGTCCATCAAATTAGAAACGACACTTTCCTTTGATTTGAATCCTTTACTACAATACATTTAGTTTGATGTTTGCAGTGATATGTAACTCACTCAACAATGTAGCAATGAACTATTATTCTGTTCATCTTTGCTCTTTCAGTCTGTCGAGGGTGTGATTGAGGACTTCAGAGACCCTCGGACTCCGAGGTACAAAGCCGCCCACGTCTTCTTCACTGACAGTGAGTAGACCAAAATCACACCCACAACATACACGATTTAGTTTTATTTATATAATTCCAAGTCATAACACATGTGGTCTCAGGACACTTTATATAATGAGGTTAAGACCATATCAGGATCACTACTCTCTTTAACTCGAAGCACATTTACTGTATTTAAAATCTTCACAGGTGTCTTTGGTTTCTGTATTTTTTCATCTGTCAGTATAGTTTCACAGCTGTTGCTGGCTGGATGATGCTGTTTTGTCTTTCTTTTTTCCATTGGGAGATAAATACAACTGAATAAATGTAACTGAAAGTAAAATATCCTAAAATTTTAAGTTTTACAAAATGTAAAATAATTAGCAGCTTTTAATAGTGCAAAATAGGCTCTTTGAGGAGTCACTATGACTAATAAACACCACTGCTAGTCCAAAATAGTAGATCATACAATACTGAAAACACATTTTAATAAAGTCCAACACGCCACACTGCAGCGGTGCTTTGTAGACAAGTGGGCAAAGTCACAGTCATTTAACTCGTGCAAATCCACGCGAATTTAGTACGCCTACATTTGCTTTTCAAAAAAGGAATTTAATTTGAAAAAAACAGGAAAAGAGTCTTTATCCAAACTTGGTGAGAGGGGTTACAGTCAGAGTGAGACGACAACAACAGGGGCCCTGAACACATCCTGGTCCCCAAACAGCTACAGATGCTCCACATATTTCCAATCATGCATGTCTCTATCACAGTATTTCACTGTGTTAAATGACTTTGGTTGTGCTTTTGGCTTTTTTCCCATTCCTTTGGAGTGTTTTGTGCATGTGTCTTGTCTGCCCAGCTTCCACACAGCATGTTGTTTTTTCTTGCCTGTGAAAGCTGAATGAATAAAACACCTCCACAGCAGTGCAGGCTTTTCTTCCCTTTATCTGCTTCAGTGCTATGTTACAAAGTGAGTTATGTTTTTAAAGGCAGACACATTCTGCAAATTTCATGACAGTTTGCACACACAGACACAGGTCTGGTGGAAATGTTTTATTAAACTCAGACATGGTCATTGCAACATGGCTCCATAGCAACACCTAATTAATGAAGTAGGTCTTTAGCATCGTTTATGGTGAATGACACAAACTTAAATTGACAACTTTATGGGGTGATTTGACCATTTCCAGGCATTAGACCGTTCCAAACTCCTCCTCTGGATTTTATTGGAATCATTGTTTGGAACTTAAGAGCTGGTCAGTCTGAACTACTGACCATTTCCATTAAATCTGTCTGTGGTGTCAAGCAAATTTTAATAATTTGCCATGGACCAAACGTGGCTGTTATAAGTCTTTGAGACTCAACACATCCACTGGTAATGTTTCATATTAGTCATAGCACCAGTTAGTGAGAACGGGGAGCAGGCGGGTCCCAGTTCTGACTGAACAGAGCCATCTACAATGTGGTCATGAAAGCCTTAAAAGGTTAAGTGTTTCTTTTTATTGCCACTTTATTAAGGACGTGACCCTGACAGCAGGGTGAACTTTGTTTACTGTAACTCAAAGACACGCGAGCTCCAAATGTCACATGTTTGACAGAAGTCAAAGTATTCAGTCGTCTGAACGTGAGAGACATCTCTTTCCTAATCCATATTAATATGACGTGTTTTATCTTTGGCTGTATTTTGTTTTAATAATCTCTATATTTGTATTCCTCTGTTTGACTTTGATAAGCTGCCCATTACTACTGTAAATATGGACAGAAAAACTACACGTGCTTAATTAGACTTTTATCTAAGACTGATTTAATGCGGCTGAAGTTATTTACAATTTTCACTCAAAAAACCCCCAAAATCACTCCTTTGTTCAAATGTGTATTTTGGACAGAAAGGAAACAGAATCCAGAACCATAAACACCATGTTGAGCCAAGCAGATAAAATAAATGAAACATTTAATTCTTACTCTGTAAAACCTACAGTTTCTCTAAGTAAGCCAATATGTTTGTCTTTGCTTGCAGCAATCCCAGACTCTTTGTTTGGACTCTTGACCAAATCCCGCGCTTCTAAAGCGATGAAGGCCTTGACTGAGATCCACATAGCCTTCCTGCCCTATGAGTCTCAGGTAAGATCCTGGCCACCATCAGTCATGACTGATGGGTAACAATATTCTTATTGAGTGTTTTGAGATCTTTGTGTTTGTATAATTTGAATACAGATGAATGAATAGTCAGTAAAATCTCAGCTGTCTTTCCACGATTTATTGAACTGAGCTACAAGTTGACTTTTCATGTTGCAAGAAAGTGAGGAGAAAACTGATTGTGCTGAAACCATGTAACACATTTATGACCAGATTTAAGAACGTTGCATTATTAATGAGTAGAAGGAGACGAATCAGCTTTGCACAAGGTTCACAAGGTACCAGTTTGATTTCAGGATTATATAAGACCACCAGTAGCCACCCAGACTCAGGCCTGCATTAAACTGGGAACTGCTGTAACACTGAAACACTGTGCACATGGGAGGTGTTGAGGATGTATCCTGTAGTGTTGCCTCTGTATACCACTATACAATATTAAATCAAACAGTCAGCCCAGTTATTGTCCAGTTATTTCTGAGCCTGTGAAAACTGAGCACTATGTAAAGAAATGGCTTTAATTACTTAATGCTGAAATTCAGTTCGATTAAAGCTGAACCCCTGCACTTCAATCGAGTATTGCTGCGTCTAAAATCCAGTGTTGTGGTGCAGATGGGAAACTATACAACTGTGTGTCGTCTTTGTACTGTTTTCTGTCGTCAGGTCTTCTCCCTGGATAAAGTGGATGCTTTCCAGGACTTCTACAGCCCCTTCAAGGCTGACGTGAAGAATAACATGTTGGAGCGTTGTGCTGAACAGATCGCCACCCTCTGTGCCACGCTGAAAGAGTATCCAGGAGTTCGATACAGAGGGTGAGCTCCTTTTGATTTTTTTAAAGACTGAATTGGCTTTCTATTTAAAAAGTGGTGATCTCTGATCCTGTGGGTCTGCCCCAGTAGGTCTGCAGGGTTTGGATGGAGCCAACGGGGATTCGCCCAGTACTAACTGCCTCTCTCCTCTGGGTGTCTACCCTGTCTCCTCTGATTAAAAATCAGGAGCCCTGAGCAGGCTCAGTGCTGGTGGAATACAACTGGAGAATGTCAACAGTGCAGACTTTGAATGTAGCAGACTGTAGCTTTAGCAGCAGCAAAGCACTTATACTTATCAGCCTGCTACAAGCTGATGCTGACTTTGTTCTGATCTTTGTGAGGAAAATGCTTGGAGAGGACGAGCACAACCAGATCTAAAGATTCACTTATCTAGCAGCATTCCTTGGAAATTCAATCCCCCAGGAATACAGTGGAAATCCAACACGGCACAAATGAGCAGAGAAAAATAGAGTAAAACCATCAAAACCAATTTGCAGCGTCACAGTTTGTGGTTGATCCCTCTGCTTCACATTCCAGCTTCTTATTTCCAATCTCCTGACCTGACTTATATTGTAGAAAAGAATGGGAAGAACGACTTATCTCCTCTGCACAGCACTTTTGACCTTCTGAACATTACATTATTCGAGATGGCCTTAGTCCCTCTGTGACACCCGTTCACCGTTGTTGACACATAATGACCTGATGACCTGATATCCAGCAGCTCCTCAGCATCCTCTCTCTGACTTTTCAACAAACATGATTTGAAACAAAGTTTAAAATCGAAACTTTAATATCACTTCATTTCATTTTCTGTCTTTGTATGATGCACTTTACAAGATTTTTCTGTGTGTGTGTGTGTGTGTGTGTGTGTGTCATAATATGCTCCATACTGCTCCCATCCCACACACACACACACACACACACACACACACACACACACACACACACACACATGTTTAAGTCTAGATCATGTGTACGCACACACTCATTTCTACACACATTAATCACACTTGTACTTTGATTGCATCTCTGATCGAGAATGAAGATGTTTCATTATTAGCAAAAGCACATTTAGACTTTTAACATAACAGGCTGGATGTGAAGGCCTTTTCCCCTCAGACATGATCGGAGGTGAACCATCGGACTTCAGTCTCTGCTTCCTGGACAGGGTGGTGTGCACATCTTTCTCAAAGCAAACTCTACCAGAAGACAAAGAGGCCTGAGGGCTTTGTGTTGTTCTGAGCTTTAGCAGTTTAGCAGAAGACACTGTTCTCTTCTGGACATAGGTCTAATTTTGTTCCTGGAAAATGCTGGAGCTACTCTTGCAGTTTGGATGTATGCGGCACAAATGTTCTCGTAGTCCACTTGCTTGATCCAAGTGCTGACTCAGCTTGCATCGTCCCGTCCTGCTATCATGTACCAGGCTGTCTGCAGGCCGCCTGTGATAGACTCCTGTCTCTATCTGGATCTGTTCTTGTGCTGCCTTGATCAGAGCTTCTGTGTTGTCCTTTAGGCTGGCGTCTTTCCGTTGCTTGTAAAGCCACGCGATGCTGTAATTTTGGGTGGAACCCTCCATGCGTTGTGGAGAAAGTGACATCAATATCCTCCTGTTGTCAGCCTATTATTTCAGTTGAGTATCTGCTGACTGGGATATGTGTTGATATTCCTGTCAAGGATATCCTTATTCCATCCCACTGAGCTGTCCTACCTCCTGGAGGAATCACACTGTGGGTTTTTGTGTATTTCTTGTGGTTCCTGTCCGAGATGCCCGGCCCCCTCCTCTATCTTGCTTTTAACAGCTTGAATTTGGATGACCGTCTTCTTCTTGCCAACAGTGTTTTATTAGAATCTGATTTCTGGATGATTTCTCTTATTTCTAAATAAGCCAAATGTTTTCTTCCTGGCTGTCGCTTCCATGCTGTTTGATTTTTAAAATGTGCATGAACTAACACCTGGATAAATGAATACCTGTGTGTGTTTGGATTAGGGACTACAAAGACTGTGCAGTTCTGGCTCAGATGCTTCAGGAGAAGTTGGATGGCTACAAAGCTGATGACCCCACCTTGGGAGAGGTAATGAAGTGAAATGACTAGATAATGAATGGAAGAACCAGATTATGGTAAATATGTGGATATTTCTGAAACAAGAGAAAAACAGAGGAAATTACACACAATGTAATAAATCGTACCCAGCTCTAATCTGCCATAACATCCAGGTTGCTTTTATCGATCATTAGTTCTTTTACAAGCTGCATTAAAAACTGTACAGCTGTTAATTAGAGTTAAGTAAGAAAAGAATAAACTCACATAGTAAATAGATTTTCACTCAGCTGTAGTTTTAGTTTTCAGTGTTGGGGGAGATCAGCTGGACTGCTCCCATGACTCAAGCATCGACTGCGTCGCTGTTGAGTGGGTAACCATCCACAGAGGATGAAACAGACGTTATGGTCTGTCTGTGGGCTCCATTGTTCTTGGGGCGATAACTAAGCTGCTTCAGTTCTTCCAAAGGTTAAACTGATTGCTGTTGGAAGAAAGACGTGTGTTACATGTTAAAGCAGCGTTTTCTATATGCTCTGGTGCCTCCAGGGTCCCGATAAGTCTCGCACTCAGCTGCTCATTCTGGACCGAGGCTTTGACCCCGTGTCACCTCTCCTGCATGAGCTCACACTGCAAGCCATGGCCTACGACTTACTGGGAGTCGAGGATGATGTTTACAGGTAGAGATGCTACTAAAGGAGGTCTGACACCTGCCACATGTGTTTTTTAATGTTATGACTGAAGGTTTGGGTCACACAAATAGAAATAATAGCGACAATGTGAAAATCAAGCAGTCTGTTAACACGTGTCTGTGAGGTTTGAGACCAGCGGGATGGGAGAAACCAGGATGAAGGAGGTAGTGCTGGACGAGGATGACGATCTGTGGCTGAGTCTGAGACATAAGCACATCGCTGAGGTGTCGACGTAAGTGGCTTTCACCTCCTGCTCACAAATGCAGTCAAACAAAGGACCGGTCCCTGCTGTCACTAACGTGCTTCTCAGGATACTGAGAACTTTTTCTTTTACGTGTCCTCTTTGTGTCTCACTACGCACAGAGCTGTGACTCGCTCACTCAAGGAATTCTCTGCCAGCAAAAAGATGAACACTGGAGAAAAGGTAAAGGCCACGGCGTGTCTCTGTGTTCGGCTTTCTGGATCCTCTGTTCGTCCTTACATAGTTACAGTGAAAACAACATGACCATACATTTGTTCACTCATCTCAGTCACTTCCTACCACCAATCACTAAATTCTCAAAGATTCTCAGACAGTTCATATGTCGAGTTATCGAGCTAGTCATCAAAAGTCAGCATTATTAATGACTAATAACCTTTCATTCACACTAGTGAGTCTGTTGTCTTTGTAGATGAAAGGTATTTGTTCTGTGTGTCTCTGTAAGAAGCACAGCACACTAAGAAGCCTCTGTTAATGTGCACAAAATCTTCATTTTTTATCCATAATTGGAAACTTTTGTTCTTTGAAATCAGCATTAAAGCCACTTTTGGTTTACTCTGCCTCCTCTCAGTCCTGCAGCTCCTGCCTGCCGCTTCAAATAGGATTTTCAGTTACTGGAAAAATATTCACAAACATATATCGATGTGTACGCAATAAACTGAGTATTAGTATTAGTATTAGACACATTCAGAAAAAAAAGTTATGGTTTATTTTGCAAATAAACTCAAAGTTTTGTAGATCAAACTTGAAATAATATTTATATTAAGTCAATGTGGAGATAAAAGGAGTTGTTATTGCAATTCAGCTCCAATGGCTGCCTTGTGTAAGTTAGTTGGTGAAATTGTACTTCTACTACTACTAAACACGAGTGTGGTGTAAAGTAGGGTTGTGTGGTATAAGGATGTTGCAGAAACATGCATTCAATCAGAAGGCAGTGGGTGTAGTCATGGCGATGGCTAAGATGCATGTTACATCAAAAGACACAATGAGACAGGTGATCGAGCTGTCTCACTGACCCAACAACACGAGGCATGTGCAGAGTGTGTAGCTGCACTGGGAGTTGACTTAAAATGACAAGTTCAACATTACTGTCAAAATGAACAATGTTTCCTGATCCATTGTGGATTTACACCTGCTTGATTGCAACCTCTCTACTGACAAATTCATGAATTTGCGTGCTTTGGCTTTTGCAACACTTCTTGCGCAGATACCTGAAACCCGTCATTCCTCATTAGGTCCAGCAGCAAAAATGAGGGTGAACAAGCATTTTGGCTGTCAGTAATAATGTTAGCTAACTAGCTCTCCAGCATAAATAACACTGATCAGTATGGTGCTGTGACATTAGTGTCACATCAGTGTGTTCTCGTGCAGTTTGGCTCGTTGTTAGCAGCAAAAGAGGACAGTCAGCTGAGCCCTCGCTCTCAACCACAGGACATCAGGACATTCCACTTTAAATGACGCAAAACTAGTCTTCCTCAGTACGTTCTTGCTTCATGCACCCATGGTGCCAGTGCGCTCTTCCAGCCGGCATGTAGGCTTTATCAAAAAAGAAAACAAAAATGATATTGACCCACAAGCTCCAGATTACCAGTCCAGCCCTGTTGTTACCAACAGCCAAGATGATCGTTCACGCTCAGTTGTGCTTATGTAGCAAGGACTGAGCGATTTCCAGTGTCTGCATTGATTCCAGTAAGAATAATGGCAGGGACTAGAAAGAGACTGTATGTTTCTCCCATATTAGCTCCTCTTCATCGACTCCCTGTCAAATCCAGAATCAAACTTCAGATCCTTCTCATCACATGAAAGCTGCCACGCCCCACCTTATCTTGGTGACCTTATAGCACTGCGTCACCTGCACGTGATGCACTGGTGGCCTCCCCTCCCGTGGCCTGGTTCTGGTGGAGGTTTTTCCTCACTGTTGCCCAAATGCTTGCTCAGAGGGGGTCATGTGATTGTTGCGGTTTTCTCTGTTTGCTTTGCATTGTTGTGGGCTCTTTATCTTACAGTGTAAATCACCTTGAGGTGCTTGATTTGGTCCTATAAAAATACAATTGAATAGCCTGTCTTGCCTGTAGTGGGATATTGCCTGTTTTGGCTGATACTACTGTACAAATCTTTGGTGTTTCAATCACTGGCTGCCTTAAAAAATGTTTTTTCTCTTTTTAAATATACAGAATTCTACAGACGACTCCTTTAAACATCTGCTCAGCCTACAGGACAAACAAAACCTCAAAAACTCATCAAACTGAAGTTCTTCAAAATTATTCTATTAATATAACATTACAGTAAATACCGGTATGATAAAATTATATATTAATATTACAATCAGTTAAATATTGATATTTGGGATATGAAAGGCTTTGTATTCCTTTATGGAAGACATTTAAATGAAGGTGCAGATAATAAGTCATATAAGTGAATAAAAACATGATCCTGGTCCTTATGAGGGTAAAAAGCAGATAAATGTATTCAAAACATTGTTCAGTCAGTGGAGAATAAAACAGTAAAAGCATTTGGTTTATTGTTTTAGTTGTGTAGCATCATTTGTAGCTGATGTTGTTGTTGAAAGAATCTTTCATACCCAATGAGCCAATGAATGAAGACATTTTGTTCACTGCAGGTGTCTCATTGTCTTTCAGACCACCATGAAGGAACTCTCGCAGATGCTGAAGAAGATGCCTCAGTATCAGAAAGAGCTCAGCAAGGTAGGAGCTAAAGTCACAACAGACAACAGCGTTCATGGAATACTGAATCTGTTGGAATACTGAATATGTTTACCTCATTATTCAAAATTGTGGTCACATTTAATGTGAAATCATGATGTTGTAGAATTATACTGCAGACATGACAGAAACCAAAAGAAAACATAGCAGCAGCTTCTTCTGCTATGAAGTACATACATACATACAAAGTGCTGCTTTCCCCTCAGCATAAGCATAAATTATTATAAAGTTTTTGTCTTTTTATTCTCAGTCCATATGAGAATATTTTGTTTAATGTGTTGAATTTGTTTATAGCTGTGAACTATATTGATGTAGAGATGTGTGGATAATCCACAACACATTTGGTTCTGACACTTCATGAAACAGCACAAGGAAACAAGCTCATTTAGAAGCGTTATGTAGAAAATATTAAGATTATTATTAAAATTTAATAAAGTTTAGATCTGATGGAGGTCACTTTGTCAGCCTGACTGGCAGCGTCTCTCTCTCTCTCCCTGCTCAGTATTCAACCCACCTCCACCTGGCTGAGGACTGTATGAACCGCTACCAGGGCACCGTGGACAAACTTTGCCGTGTGGAACAGGTAAATCATCAAAACTCTGTTGGATCTGTCAACACTGAGGGAACAGGCCTCAGGGTCTTGTTTCAGTGTGACCGCTGGGAGCATTTAGAGTGCCATGACAAAATATTTGTCCCCTTCCTCATTTCTTTGCATATTTCTCACACTTAAATGTATGACATCATCAAACAAATTCTAATGTTAGCCAAAATGTTAGCTAAAAAGAAAGTGTGGTTTGTCGCTATTATTGGACATGAGGGTTGAAAAAAAAGGGTTTTCAGCTTTAACAGCTCTGTGACACTCGAGTATTCTTTCTTCTGAAACTTTGAGGCGATCTTTCACCCATCGTCTCTCTGGGCATTGCCAAGTAAGCCAGGAGTTTAAACCAGATATTCTCCACTTAACCATCCAAGGTGGCAGGGGAACAACATGAGAACAGAACAGCAAGGCTGGAGTAATATGGGAGAAGTATGCAACGCATCTTTATTTATCCTGGGAAATCAGTATCAGTTGAATGATTGAGGTAAAAACATTATGACAAGATCAGAACTAATAAATAGGCTGATATTTAACACAAATGACTCTCGTTCATTTATTCTCCACGAATTGAAATCCACTTCTTTTTACACAAAATCACAATCACTTAGTTTAAAAGAGGAAAAGAGAAAAACAAATGAAATGGAACAAATTAAAAAAGAGGATTTCTGCATTTCCTAAAGCTGCACAATGTTAAGCAGAATTAATGTTCAGTGTGAAGGTCATCACTGTCACTCTCCAACATTTGCATGCTGTTCAATGCAAATACAACAAAACAGCACAAACATGTTCTCTGAAGGTTGTTCCAGCTGCCATGTTGTACGTTGTCCCATCCAGCACTGGGTAGTGATGTGCGAATCATGAACGAATCGTTCAAT